GCATGACAGGGGGTGGCGCCCCAACTCCCCAATCGGCCCTGCTCTGAGCCTGAGCAGGGGCTGTACCTAGGGATTGGGCCTGCCCTCTGCCACCCGGGAGCAGGCCTATGCCAGCAGGTCGTTATCTCCCGAGGGGTCCCAGACTGCGAGAGGGCACAGGCCGGGCTGAGGGACCCCCCCCCAAGTGCACAAATTTTTGTGCACTGGGCCTCTAGTCTATACCAATAAAAGGATAATATGCTAATTAGACTGGATAGATGGGATGTCTTCCGGCCATCCTTCTGGACAAAGCCACGGTGGCAGAGGCTGAGGCAGAGGCGGTTAGGGGCGATCAGGCAGGCGGCAGAGTGGTTAGGGGCAATCGGGCTGGCTAAGGAGCAGTTAGGGGCATCAGGCAGGCAGGCAGAGGTGGTTAGGGGTGATCAGGCAGGCAGAGAGGTTAGGGGTAATCAGGCAGGCAGGCAGAGTGGGTAAGGGCAATCAGGTAGGCAAAGTGGTTAGGAGTGATCAAGAAGGCAGACAGGTGAGTGGTTAGGAGCCAGTGGTCCCGTATTGCAAGAGGGATGTACAACTGCCGGCAGTCAGACATCCCCCTAGGGGTCCTGGATTGGAGAGGGTGCAGTCCAGGCTGAGGGATGCCCCCCTCCATGCATGAATTTTGTGTACCAGGTCTCTAGTGAAAATATAATATCTTTAGTTAGATGCGCATTAATTATACAATCATATGAACTCAATTACTATAAACACATATATTATACCTTGAAATTTTTCAGAATTATCAGTTAGCTAATAGGTGATTTTCTCTGATTAAGCCAGATTGTTCAGTTCTGTTCTATTAAGTACAATCTGTACCAGTAAGCTTTTCTCTCTTTCTGTAATTTCACCTTAAAGAGTTATATGATCCAAAAGAAATCTTGTTGCTGTACTCAAGGCTTTTACAGCCTTGCTGGGTTAATAATATGTCATTACCACAAAGTTTAAAAGGGCCTAAAACATGTACCCCGCTTGATGCTAAATTACTTAAGCAGGTGTTCTCATGAATAAATGTCCACTGACATTTCTGAAATAGAAGGTCATTTTTAAAAGTATTTAACATGTCAGAGTTTTCACATACCACATCTTTCACTTCAGCTGAATATAAAGAAAATATTTCCATCATCATGAAAAATATCTTTGAGTATCCAAGTATGGCACCCTGTTAGCACTAGAGGTTTCTAAGATATGTAAGATAGTTCACAGTATTTTTATCCTTATACCACTGCAGATGGTAAAATCAAAAACTGGTTAGAAATTAGACCATGGCATCAAACCATTCTAGAAAAGACATTTTTAACTATGACATTATTTTGGCTAGGATAAATTTTTCTGATTAAAAATTCTGTTTTCTTTCCTTCTGTATAGAACTTGTAATTGTAATACCTCAGTCTAGTAAATGAGATATAAATGATAAAGCTTTGATAACCATTAAGCCATGTGCTAATACAAAATATTATTAGGTAACATTATTCTTATGTAACACAGATATTTGTCCATTGATCCTGGGTGTGCCAATATTTCCCACAAATAGATTGTTTTAGAATAACTAGGACTCTAAACTTTAATCCAGGCCTTAATCCTAACATATAAAAACCCTGGGTCTATCACATCCACAACAACTAGGAGGCTCGACCAACTGGAAGCACTGACTGCTATGGCTGCAGGCACAGTGACCCAACACTCACTGCTGAGGGGGCTGTGAATCAGGCCCAGAGAGAGGCCTGAAGAGAGAAGCAGGGTCTAATCCGTAGCCTCTGTGGCAGCTGTTGATCAGCACTTGCCTCTCTCTTTAGCTCTGGGCCTGGTCAGCAGCTGTGCCTCCATTTCTCTCCAGGCCTCCACCAGGGCTGCTGATCAGCCCCGCCTTTTTTATCAGGCCCCGTTGATAGGCCCAGAGACGCTGACTGGCATAGAAACCAACCAATCAGAACCAAATTGGCTGGCAGAGGAGAGCAGTTGGGGGCGAGATCAGGTGGCAGGGGAGGGCAGTTAGGGGCGATCAGGCAGGCAGAGGCAGTTAGGGGTGATCAGGCTGGCAGGGGAGGGCAGTTGGGGGCGAGATCAGGATGGCAGGGGAGGGAAGTTGGGGGCAAGATCAGGCCAGCAGGGGAGGACAGTTGGGGGCAACCATGCCGCAGGGGAGCACAGTTGGGGGTGGGGGTCAAGCCTGCAGGGGAGGGCAGTTGGGGGCAAGATCAGGCCAGCAGTGGAGGTTAATTGGGGGTGAGATCAGGCTGGCAGGGGAGGGCAGTTGGGGGCGAGATCAGGCTGGCAGGGGAGGGCACTTGGGGGTGAGATCAGGTTGGCAGGAGAGGGCAATTGGGGACGACCAGGCTGGCAGGCGAGGGCAGTTGAGGGCGATCGGGCCGGCAGGGGAGCAGTTAGATATTAATCAGGCCGGCAGGGGAGCAGTTAGGGGGTTATCAGCCTGGCAGGCAGAAGTAGTTAGGGGCAGTCATGCAGGCAGGCAGGTGAGTGGTTAGGAGCCAGCAATCCCGGATTGTGAGAGGGATGTCCAACTGCCGGTTTAGGCCCGATCCCACAGGCAGGTGGACATCCCAGAGGGGTCCCAGATTGGAGAGGGTGCAGGCTGGGCTGAGGGACACCTCCCCCAGTGCACAAATTTCGTGCACTGGGCCTCTAGTCTGAAAACAAATACCCTGTGATTAATTTACTAGTGGCAAGAGAAGCAATGAAATAACTATTATTAAAGAGCTATTTTAATGAGTATTATTGACTAGAGTGGGGTCTGACCAGCCCACCCCAATGGGGCCGATTGAGCCGGGCCAGTGGGGGAGGGGATGAGGGAGGTTGGCCAGCCAGTCCCGATTGGGGTTTGGGGGGCTGATAGGGGGCCAGGCCAGCCAGGGGGAGGGGCCACAAGATGTTGGCGGGGCCAGTTGGGGCCCCGGTTGGGCCGGTTGGCCACTGCAGTGCACATCATAGCAACCGGTCATTCCAGTCATTCCATCGTTCTGGTTGCTGGGCTTTTATATATATAAATTTATAAAGGTACTAGAGGCCCGGTGCACAAAAATTAGTGTACTCGCGGGGGAGGGGGGTCCCTCAGCCCAGCCTGTGCCCTCTCGCAGTCTCGGGAGATAACGACCTGCTGGCTTAGGCCTGCTCCAGGGTGGCAGAGGGCAGGCCCAATCCCTAGGTGCAGCCCCTGCTCAGGCTCAGAGCAGGGCCGATTGGGGAGTTGGGGCGCCGCCCCCTGTCATGCACAGAGCAGGGCGGATTGGGAGGTTGCGATGCCACCCTCAGTCACGCTCAGGGTAGGGCCGATTGGGGGGTTGGGGCACCGCCCCCTGTCACACTCAAGGCAGGGTCGATGGGGAGGTTGCGGCGCCACCCCCTGTCACGCACAGAGCAGGGCCAATCAGGGGGTTGGGGTGCTGCCCCCTGTCACGCACACAGCAGGGCCCATCAGGGGGGTTGGGGCTCCGTACCCTGTCATGCACAGAGCAGGGCCCATCAGGGGGTTGAGGAGCTCTCCCCTGTCATTCACAGAGTAGGGCCGATAGGGGAGTTGGGGCACCGTCCCCTGTCACACACAGAGCAGGGCGGATCAGCGGGTTGGGGCGCCACCCTCTATCACCCACAGAGCAGGGCGGATCAGGGGGTTGGGCGCCACCACTGTCACACACAGAGCAGGGCTGATGGGGAGGTTATGGCTCTACCCCGTCACACACAGAGCAGGGCCCGTGGGGGGGGAGGGGGGTTGGGGTGCCGCACCCTGTCACACACAGAGCAGGGCCGATCAGGGGGTTTGGGTGCTGCCCACTGTCACGCTGATCCCAGTGCCGGGAGGCCTCGCGGCTCCGCTGATCCTGGTGCTGGGAGGCATATTACCCTTTTACTATATAGGATAGAGGCCTGGTGCACAGGTGGGGGCCAGCTGGTTTGCCCTGAAGGGTGTCCTGGATCAGGGTGGGGGTCCCCACTGGGGTGCCTGGCCAGCCTGGGTGAGGGGATGATGGCTGTTTGCAGCTGGTCACACACCCTTCAGGGTGGGGGTCCCCACTGGGGTGTCTGGCCAGTCTGGGTGAGGGGCTGAGGGCTGTTTTCAGGCTGGGGGGTGACTGAAGCTCCCAACCGCTCCTTTTTTCCTTTTTTTTATTCTGGGCCAGCTTGAGGCTTGGCTCCAGCTCTTAGGCCTCCGCTGCTGAAAGTAGGTTTCTGGCCTTTGCTTACAATGTTGCGATCCTACTGGCTGAAGTCCGGCGGTATTTGTTACATAGTTTCTTAAACTGCCCGCTCAGAGGCCTGCAGCCGCAGGCGGGGAACATTGGTTTCCTCCGTCACTGAGGCAAGCAAGCCTCATGTTAGTTTCAAGCTGCCGGGCTGCCGGCCACCATCTTGGCTGTCAGTTAATTTGCATATCTCGTTGATTAGCCAATGGGAAGGGTAGCAGAGTGACACTAATTACCATGTTTCTCTTTTATTAGTGTAGATTCTTTAGTTTTCAAATATTCTTGAGAAAAACTATATCCTTTGCCACAGAATTTTCAATTTTCTGCAGAATTCAGTTACTTCATGCAGATTAAAATTCCTGTGTTATATATCTGGAGTAATCTTGTCTAATTTACAAATGAACTATCCAAATTAGATATCTATGAGAGCACACTTTTCTGATTACAAATGTTCTGGCCCATGTCAGTGGTTTGTACAGCTGTAGCTATTCTCTCCCTCCCTCCCCCACCCAACCCCCACCCACCCCCGACACACACACACACACACACACACAGTTTTCCTGGCCAACAGCATTGCACATTCTAAGAGTGGCTCCCAGGGTGAAGACTGACGGCCTGTGAGATAGCCAGGCCAGCTGCACAGGACCTCTGACTGGGGTGTGGGGTGGTTGTGCCATTGAACAGAACGATGCTAACTGGCTGAAGTTGGATCTCAGCAGCACAGTCCTTCAAACAGCTGTGCTCTGTAACCTTTTTCTTCTCTCTCAGGTGACTGCCGGGCCCCTTTTGTGGGAAAAGCCTCCCTCAGAGAGCAGTGATTGCATGCCTAGCCCCCACCTAGGAAGACCAACGAAGAGCACCTTGCAAGTTCCCCTCCAGAATGTCCCTCTGAATACCTCTGACAATAAGCCGCATAAGACCTTGGATGTTGAGGCCTCCCAGCAGCCTGACAGCGACGAGAAGCTCAGAACCACCAGCCAGAAAGCAAAGCCCATTTGCATGGGTCATTTCCACAATCGCCATGTCTTCCAGCAGCAGCTGATTGAGAAGCAAAAGAAGAAACTTCAGGAACAGCACAAAACAATTCTGGAGCTGAAGGAAAGCCAGAGGCTGGCACAGGCTCGGTGGGCAGCAGAGCGCAATGCAGCCCTCATGGACACACAGAGCCGCCTGCTGTCAAACCCCAGAGAAGAAGAACCTGAAAGAACCTGCCAGGTGCTTTCAAAGTATGTCCATTGCATCAGAACACTCTCTGGACTCATTATTTGGAATTTTTCACTTTGTGGTAGACGGGCTCCTGAACTCTACCTGGCTTCCAGGCTCCGTGATCTCTGCTTTCCTTTTGTTGTGCCCTCTCAGATCAAATAGGCCCATGCATTGTGATGGGTACATGGCAGATATAAATAGGTCTTTAAGGCAAGCAACTGCCTAGAGCAGTGATGGCGAACCTATGACACGCGTGTCAGAGGTGACACGCGAACTCATTTGTTTGGTTGATTTTTCTTTGTTAAATGGCATTTAAATATATAAAATACATATCAAAAATATAAGTCTTTGTTTTACTATGGTTGCAAATATCAAAAAATTTCTATATGTGACACGGCACCAGAGTTAAGTTAGGGTTTTTCAAAATGCTGACACGTCGAGCTCAAAAGGCTCGCCATCACTGGTCTAGGAGTTCTTTTTACCAATAAAAGAGAAAAATACCTACTTGCTTTAGCTTGACTTAATGGGTTTCTGATCATGTTAAGTGCTGAGAAGTCAGTTCAGACAGTATCAGGTCCAAATGGAGCAGTCCCTCAGGATGGTCAATTATCTAGCTTAAATTTATAGTTGTTTTGGATAAAAGTAAACATTTTTGAGCCTGAAATAAGAGTCCAAATTTCTTAAAAGCCATTTAGGATGGTTTCAGAGGTGCTTGAGATATACTCAATATGTGTGACAGATGGTAGGATAAGTGGGTGACACTATTGATTTGAAGTACTGGGGTGAGAGTGGGAGTGCTTCACACACTGGAGGTGCAGGCCAGTCACTCAACCTTTCCATGCCTTATTACACCAATTTATCCAGTGGGTGTAATAATGCGTGGTTATCTCAGAGAGAAAGGATTACAGTTTTTAAAATTCTTTGAGTTCCTCAGGCGCAAGGGCTTTGAACAACACTGGTTATTGGTCTGAATTCTTTTTTTTTTTCCTTCTCTAGTTCTCCTGTTGCTTCCCCTGGGACTGACGGTAGTAGAAGCAACTCCCAAAATTATCTTTCTGGACCCAGAAGGAACCCAAGGAAGCTGATATCACCCCATCCCATACTTAAAGGCAGGGCTGTCTTGGTTTGGTCTTGGTGGTGGTTATCTTCCCTGGTGGAGTAGAGTGTGCTGGGATTGAATTCAGGCCACTCTTGGGTTTTGAGCTTGGCAGAACCTGGTCGGTCTAAGGTGGGGAGACGCGTGAGAACTGGAATACACCAGAGCGTTCCACAACTTTTCTCCTGCCTCTTCTGCCAAACTTTGGGCCTTTCCGGCCAATAAAAAAAAATTGCTGGGCGGTGTATCATTTTCCTCTAATTTGAGATTTGTATTGTGATTTTTTAAAAAATGGGACACATACACAAATGAGAAAACTCTGAGTAGCTGCCTAGAATAAACATTGATCAAGATCGCCTATCATTATATTTTGTTAACATTAAAATTTATAGCAATTTATGTTAAGTTAGTACATCATTTTATAATGAGTTGTGCCTTGATGATAGGCTTTTAGTAATGAAATCTGTAAACCACACATTTTAATTTAATAGAATTGTTGATAACATAGACATCGTTATTTAAACCAAACAATACTGTTGGAAGAGAAGCATTCCTTAGAACCCAGCAATGAATCTGCTAATTGTTTTCACTGTCTACTTAGTCAACCATTGTACATGTGTTTGTATGTGTGGTAGGCACTTTGACAATTAGATTGTGTTTTATAAATCTGAGTTTTCACCTATGGCAAGATTGCTGCCCTAACCAAAATTGAGGTCATCGGAAGGACACTGTGCCTGAAGTTCATTCCTGTAATGAAGAAATTAGCAGTCTTTGCATTGACTGCTAGGACAGCAGTTTATGCCATCTGTGTCCACTGAGGATGATTTAAAAATGCCCACTTATTACTTTTCTTATTATTTGATCAACAAGTTAGCACCTCAGGCTACCTTGCATGCAGTCTTTAATGACTGTCTAGCTCCAGAAAAGATGGGAAGGGACATATTACCAGAGGCTCCACTTCTCAGGGTTCTCTCACTTTAATCCTCTAGTCTGCTTCTGCCTCCTTAAAGGCATCCTCACTCCTGCCATCTGTGGCACCCCACTATTCTTTTCCAGCAAAGCAGACACTTAATATCTGTAAGACAGCCTGGTGAGTGTTTTGTTTATTAATTCTTAAAACTTGGACTTAAATGTTCTTCCTCTATAATATGACACAAGGAACCAAAAGTAACCATTGGCTGACTTGGGTGAGCAGAACTTGGTACTCCTCCCACCCATGCTCCACTTCCTGTGAAAGTCCTGGCTGATGACAGTCACATTATCAGGCCATCTTGCACATTTGCTTCTTTTGGATTGATATTTAATAGACTGTCAAGAACAGGAGTCTGACACTCAAATCCGTTCAGATGCCAGCTCTCCAAATGCTTAGTACAGTTCCATTTCCTGCCCATCTGGATATCCAGGCCTTAAAACTAGATTAAAATGTATTCATTGTGACCCTAAACTTTAGTTTGTGGTGGTTGTTGTTACATATACAGATGTATGTATCATGACTTGGGAAAAATTAGTGGATTCAGTGGGAGTAATTCTTTTCTCAAAGTATTTGTTAAGTATAATTAACACCTTCTACATTCATTAAAGGAATTATCAAATTAAAATTATGGTTTCTCAGTTTCATATACTAAAAGTATCATCAAGGCACATTATCTAATTTAAACCAATAAACATTATTCTAATAGAAATGTAACTAAAAACATAATCTGCAAATTGCTCATTATTGTTGAGGATGAGATCATAGGTCTTTAACTTACAGGGGATATACATACATACCTATAGTTTATATAATTGTATTTTATAGAAATTTTATACATATATTTCTGAGATTGTGAACACTCAACTTAAAAGAAAACCTTAATAACACCAAATTTTACTGTAAAATGGAGACATTTGTTTTTCAGTGTTCCTTATATTTTTTATATTGGAACTCTTACTATTTTCTAGCCATGGAAGAGAGAGCAGCGCAGCGAGCTGAACGTAGGCGGATCTTGGCAGAGAAGAAACAAAAACAAGAAGAGGAAAAATTGGTAATATATCAAGAATGCAAACTGAGGCAAGAGAAAGGATTTGTATAAGTGTTTATTAAAAAAAAATGTTAAGCCTAGCTTGTTTAAGCTTATTGAGGCAATAGAATTATACCAACTTTGGAAATGGCTTTTGGCCTACGGGCCTGAACTCTGTAACAATTTTAGGAAAATAAAGGGGAAAACATCAATATCATTTGTGTAGCAGGAAATGTTACAGATGTCAGTGAGAACTAGCACATTGGAAGATTGACAGATAACCAAGACTAGTGTGTTACAGGTAGATGTCCAACCTGACAGGTTTGCAAAAGTAGAGAGTTCTTATCTTTCGAAGTTTTGACCTGGACTTCAGAAGTAAATGTTGTGCTACTAAGAAAAAATAGATACTACTAACAGTTTTGAGGGTTTTTTAAATGAATGAAAGAACAAATTTTCCCACATTATATATAGTTTGGACTTAGTATTTCACAGATGAAAAGAAGAACTAGAAAGTAATCATTTTTATGATAAAAAGTTAATGGTCTTATTCATGCTTAGTCTCATCTTCCCAAGGAGAAGACGATTCTTTGGAGAAACCTTCAAGTTCCACAACTGACCACTTGTTGGTTGGGTTTCTATTTTTATCACAAAGTGCAAGCTTCCTCCAGAGACGGGGTGGACACTTTGGTAGATACTTCTCTCAGTCTCAACTTAAGGATCATATTTCCATACAAATCGAGGGTGTTGATTTTTACAAATTCTAATCTTGATCAGGCCCAGTTAAAGGCCCAAGAGGAGGAGCGGCAGAAGAGGGAGGCAGAAGAAAAGGAGGCTCAACTTGAGAAAAAACGAGAAGAGAAGAGACTGAAGAAAATGGTTAGTCGTGTCTGTCTGGTCAATTGTGTGACCCTGTGCACTTTCCCCACCCTAGACCTTCTGTTTAGAACACTCTTTTCTCACCTGCACCCTTTTTCTCTATTTAGTGAAAATCTACTCTTCTTTACATTTTAGCTCGATATGACTTCTTCCAGATTAGTCTTGCCCACCTTCCTCTTCACCCAAGGTTAGGTTAGGTCACTCTCTGTGGACTCTGAGTATATTTCCTTCAAAGCATTACTAGGGCTTTAATTATGCATCTATTCCATGGTTGTTTTTTTCGTATCTGCATCTCCTAAGCTGTAATCTCCATAAGGGTAGAAGGAGCAGTCTGAAGTTGCTCACTATTGTATTGGCTAGCAGTGTACTGAGCATATAGTAGAACTCAGCAAATGATGCCGAAACCGGTTTGGCTCAGTGGATAGAGCGTCGGCCTGCGGACTGAAGGGTCCCGGGTTCGATTCCGGTCAAGGGCAGGTACCTGGGTTGTGGGCACATCCCCAGTGGGAGATGTGCAGGAGGCAGCTGATCGATGTTTCTCTCTCATCGATGTTTCTAACTCTCTATCTCTCTTCCTTCCTCTCTCTGTAAAAAAATCAATAAAATATATTTAAAAAAAAAAAAAAGAACTCAGCAAATGAGTCGAATGAGTGCATAAATGAACAAATGGAAGAAAATAGATGGAGAAAAAAGTAAGAGATAAAACTCTTTTTTTTCAAGGTCATTAAATTCTAGTTGGAAACATATGTCCTTAAAATACATACCTATCAAAGATGGTATAGTAATGGTATAGTATAGCATATGCTCTTTTGTGCCACCCAGACCAAACAAGATCAAGAGAGTTGTGCAGGCAAGATCCATGAAGATTTGGAAGAAATTAGAGGCATTTTCAAAGGAAAGAGATTTGAATGGGAAATTATATTAGGGTTCTCCAGAGAAAGATATATATATATATATATATATATATATATATAGAGAGAGAGAGAGAGAGAGAGAGAGAGAGAGAGAGAGAGAGACCCAGTGCATGAAATTTGTGCACAAGAGGGGGGTCCCCCTCAGCCCAGCCTGCACCCTCTCCAATCCAGGGCCCCTTGGGGGATGTCCGACTGCCAGTTTAGGCCCAACCCCAGGCCTAAACTGGCAGTCAGACATTCCTCTCACAATCCTGGACCACTGGCTCCTAATCACTCACCTGCCTACCTGCCTGGTCGCCCCTAACTGCTCTCACGCGCACCCCGCCCCGCCCCCCGCTGGCATGATCACCCCTCACTGCCTCTGCATGCTGGCCTGATCACTCCTAACTGCCCCCCGCTGCTGGCTAGGTCACCCCCAACTACCCCCTCCCTGCCAGCCTGGTCGCCCCCAACTGCACCCCCCCCACCAGCCTGGTTGCCCCTAACTGCCCCGCCCTGCCAGCCTGGTTGCCCCTCACAGCCCCCCCCCCTCCACTGGCCTGGTCGCCCCACGCAGCCTGCTGTTCAGTTGTTTGGTCATCCCTCACTAACCCCCCTGCCTTCCTGGTCGCCCCACGCAGCCTGCTTGTTCAGTCATTTGGTTGTCCCTCACTAACCCCCCAGCCAGCCTGGTGTAGGCAGCCATCTTGTGAGAGTGTGAGGGTTAATTTGCATATTACCTCTTTATTATATATGTATATATATATATACAAAAATTTATTTATTATAAGGAATCAACACATGATTATGGAAGTTGAGATGTCCCACAGCCTGCCATCCAGAAGCTGGAGACCTAGGAAAGCCAGTGATATAATTCCAGGCCAAGTTTGAAGGCCTGAAATTAGGAGGCTGATGGTACAAATCCCGGTTCAAGGGCAGGAGAAGACCATGTCCCAGCTCAAGCAGGAAGGAAGCAAAAGCAGCAAATTCCTTCTTCTGCCTTATTGTTCTATTCAGGCTTGTAAAGGATTGGGTGATGCTCATACATATTAGGGAGGTCAATCTACTTTACTGAGTCCATGGATTCAAATATTAATATCATCCAAAAGCACCTTCACAGACACACCCAGAAATAATCTTAGTCTGGGTACCCTGTGGCACAGGCAAGTTGACACACAAAATTAACCATCACAAGTTAACCCAGGGATGGGCAAACTTTTTGACTCGAGGGCCACAATGGGTTCTTAAACTGGACCGGAGGGCCGGAACAAAAGCATGGATGGAGTGTTTGTGTGAACTAATATAAATTCAAAGTAAACATCATTACATAAAAGGGTAAGGTCTTTTTTTTTTTTAGTTTTATTCATTTCAAACGGGCCAGATCCGGCCCGTGGGCCGTAGTTTGCCCACGGCTGAGTTAACCTCATTGTCAACTTGTTATCCATACACATATGAAACCAACATAATCTTCAAAAAAGGAAATAACAACATTATAATTCTGCCTAACATGATACAACTATCCCACATACAATCAGAAATGCTCTAACTTCTGCCCCAGAAGATGAGGTAAAGTCTTTGAGTGATATTTCTTCTTCTCCTTGATATCCCATAACTTAAGTACTATAATGTAAAATGAATAATACTTAAATACCGTGATATAAAGCCAATACATCATATGTTACATAATAATAGAATAAGAAAGGCAAGAAAACAAAGATACATACACAGATAAATATATTCATAGCAAAATAAGAAATGGATACTCATGACAATTACAGTCTTCATTTATGTAACTGGCCAAGTGGGCGTAGCTAGTATTTATAACTTATGTTCTTTACTACCCACTCTTCTCTTTGCCTTCAGCAAGCACCTCTGCTAATCACAGTTTTTTACCTGGTGAGGTGACCCAAACCTTCATTCCTGAGTAGCCCAGTGTGGATTGGGCTGTTGTTGTTTTCTTTTGACCTTAACCCCAGGGCATAGCAATGCTAAGATATACTCTAAGGGGCTTCCTGTATTCCAGAAATACTTTTCCTTACCTCCACTGTGGAACAGTATACTCTCCAGTTTCGCTTAGTAGTCAGGTTTATTCACCCCAGTCAGCACTTCCTTCTTTGCCTGTTGATTTAGAGTCATAAGGAGCCCAATATGATTGGGTGGCATTCTTAACTTCCAGTTCAGTGGAATCATTGTTATGTCTCCTGATAGAAGCATTCCCCCATTTGAAACCAAGACCTCTAGACCAGCCGTGGGCAAACTACGGCCCGGGGGCCGAATCCGGCCCATTTGAAATGAATAAAACTATTGAAAAAAAAGACCGTTGTACCCTTTTATGTAATGATGTTTACTTTGAATTTATATTAGTTCACACAAACACTCCATCCATGCTTTTGTTCCGGTCCTCCAATCCAGTTTAAGAACCCATTGTGGCCCTCGAGTCAAAAAGTTTGCCCACCCCTGCTCTAGACTAACAGAACATAAAGTTGTGGGAAAAGGAAGAAAAAAATTTGCTAGTGGATCACTGGAGGTAATCATGAGTGGTGCCAATCCCACTTCCACTTCTTGATTCCTGGAGCCTGTGAATCCTGACTATGGGGAGAACAGTGCCATATATTGGATGCTGACTCAGAGCATATATAGCCCTCTGGAGAACCTTACCATAAACCTGCAAGGTATTGCCACCTCACTGGAACTGCAACTGAGTCTTCACAAGATCATGCCAGCCCTACACCCACCAATTTGATCCCCTGTCAAAGAACATGGCCTGGATTTCGGGCACTATACCCAGTAGCAGGTGTACAGGAGGTACCCAATTGATGTTTCGCTCTCACATCAATGTTTCTCTCCCTCTTCCTTACTCTTTCTCTCTAAAATCAATTTAAAAACATTTACAAGAGACCATGCCACCATTCTGTCAAGCCAGCTTCTTCAGGATGGTAGAACACACAAGTCCCATGTGTATAGGCCCATTGCCACACTTCTTTTGTTGTAAAGTGAGCTCCATGATTAGAAGCCATGCCAATGTGGAATACAATGGTGGATAAACTTTCTGTAAGTCCATAAATGAGACCTTGTAAGTCCATGGGTAGTATTTTGGGGCAAAAGCATTGTCTAGAGGAAAGGCAAATCCATATTCAGAGTGTCTATTCCGCTAAAAACAAAACTCTGCTCCTTCTGTGATGGAAACAGTCTAATATAATCAACCTGCCATCTGATAGCTGGCTGGTCAGCCCAGAAAATGGTGCCATTTTGACGACTCAGTGTTAGTCTCTGCTGCTGTCTGATTGGGCAATCAGCAGTGGCCATAGCCAGTCAGCCTTGGGGAATGGAAGTCTGCATTGCTGAGCCCTTGTATAGCCACCATGGCCACTTTGTTTATGCGCCCATTGGGTAATGGTAGGAGTGGCTGGGAAAAGAGGCTGACTGAGTATCCACAGAATGGTTCAGCTTGTCCATGGAGCAAAAGGCATGTACTATAATTCATCCCTTGCTAAGACAGCCTAAGAAATCTCTAGAAACAGCCCCGTTACCTCCCTTAAAAATTACATAAGGGTTCTGAAGTAGCATTTTCCAACATGTGTTCCATGTAATTTTAGTGGTTTCTAATATTAAGTTGTTTTGAATTACCTTTATACCTCTGTCAAAAATCAATTGACTGTATTTATGTGGGTCTATTTCTGGGCTCTCTGTTCTGTTCTGTTGATCTTTATGTATATTTCTTTAACAGTAACACACTGTCTTTGATTGCTGTAGCTTTACAGTAAATCTTGAATATATTAAATGTGAATTCTCCCCTTTATTCTTTTATACAATGTTTTGGCTATTCTAGTTCTTTTGCCATTTGATATAAATTTTAGACTAATCTTGTTGATATGTATAAAAACTCTTGCTAAAATTTTGTTTGTGATCATATTGAATTATAGATCAAATTGGAAGAATAGACATCTTAACAATATTGAGTCTTTATTTAGATTTTTCACTTATTTCATGAGTGTTTTTATTTCTTTCCCACAGATCTTACATATTTTTTGTTAGATTTATACCTAAGTATTCCTTTTTGTGGTATTATTGTAAATGGTGTCTTTTTAAAACTTCAGATTTTATTTA